AGGGAGGGAGTCTGTGGGGGGGAGGGGGGAGGGTGCGGTAGCTCCTGCAACCCGCCGTCCGCAGGGGCCCAGCAGGCCGCGACGAAGGGGGTCGGGGTGCAGCGGAGAGTGGAGTGGAGTGGAGTGGAGTGGTCTGAGTGGGCGGAAGGGGATAGGGAGCCTGGGGGTGGTGGTGGTGGTGGCGGTGGCGGGGAGGGAGAGAGCGGGAGTGTGTGTCCAGTGTGATTTCCGCTATGTGAACTGAGGTGGGACGGGGGCGTGTGCGTGTGGGTGTGGGTTTGGGTGTACGTGGGGAGGGAACCCCGGGGGGAGGGGCCTGCACGAGGTGGCTGGTTGGGTTAGTGTGGCAGTGGAGTGGAATGGAGAGTGGAATGTGACGAAACAGAACACCTGCCTGGGCACCTGCCTGGGTAGCTGACTCCCCCCCCCCACACACACACCGGCCGGAGCCGGGGCCCCGCCTCCTTCACAAACCGCGACTGGGGGTTAGTTACCTCTTCTTACCTCCCACTCTGGGGTGGTATCCGTCTATGTCCTCCTTGGCACCTTGGCTTCACTCGTTCACGTGGTTCATATCCCCCCTACCCACCCACCCGGCCGCCCGTCGGGGCGCTCTCAGGTCGTCACATGAACCACCCGCCCGCCTTAGCGCCCCCTTCTCCCTCCCCTCCCCCCTCCCTCCCCCGCCCCCATCAGGTCCGAGGTGGACGACTCCATGTCTGGCACCACCGCCATTACCGTACTAATACGGGGTCGTACAGCCTACGTGGCCAATGTGGGCGACTCCAGGGCCGTCCTGGCAGAGCGACACGGGGATAAGGTGGTGGCGCAGGACCTGTCGTACGACCAAACACCCTTCAGGTGTGTGTGTGTGTGTTTGTGGGGGGACGCCTGGTCTCACAGGAAAATACAGACAGACAGACAGACAGACAGGCACCTGTTTCCATCCACCCAATCCCGCACTTCCATTCAAGAGCGGCCCCAGTGAGCCGCCGTCTCTGTGTACGACTGTATGTATGTGAGTCCATACCTGCCTACGTGTATTCCCGCCAGCCCCTCCCCTCTCCTTCCTCCAATAGAGAAACATTGGTGATGTTCTCCCTCCCCCCTCCTCTCCTTGGCAGCAGTCTTCACTCGTTCGTGGTTCCGTCTTTCCCCCCCCTCCTCAC